TCTCGGGCCGCCCCCGCGGGGGGCGGCGGGCCGGCGCCCGGGCCGTTGGCCACCACGGGAGGGGGCTGCCCGGGAGGGGGCGCGGCCTCGGCGGTCCCCGCCGCGCCTCCCGGCTCGGCCAGGTCCAGGAAGGCTTGGCGCAGCAGGGCCGGGCTGTCTCCGAGCGCGCAGCCCAGCGCCGAGGGCGGCTGCGGCGGGGGCTGCAGGTAGGTGGGCACGGGCAGCCCGCCGGGGGTCCGCGGCGGCCAGAACATGCAGAAGGGCGGGTAGAAGGCGTCCTTGCGGCCGGCCGGCCAGAAGAGGCCCGACAGGCCGGCCTTGGGCGCCGCGCCCGCCGCGCCCCCCAGGCCCTCGGCCGCCGCCGCGCCCGCGTCCTCCTTCTTGTGGCACAGGCCGAAGGCGGCCGCGGCGGCCGGGAAGGTGTAGGGGTGCGGGAAGAGCCCGCCGCAGCCCGGGAACTTCTGCAGCACGCCCCCGAAGGAGCCCTTGCTGGGCACCGGGATGACCGGGTAGCTGCGCGGGCCCTTGGCCGCCCCGCCGGCGCCCGTGCCCGCGCCCAGGCCCGCCACGCAGCCGCCCCCGGCGCCGCCCCCGGCCGCCCCGGCGCCGCCCCCGGCCGCAGCCACCGAGAGACTGGCGGCGGCGGCCGAGAGGCTGGCGGCGGCCACGACGGCCGCCTCCTGGAGGGAGTCGTCATCGTCGTCGAAGCGCGGCCGCTTGTGATGGGCGTGCGGCGGGCCGGCCAGCTCGGCCAGCGGCGGCGGCGGCGGCGGTGGCGGGGGCGCGCCCAGCAGGTGCGGGCCCAGCAGCCCCCCGCCCCCGGCCACGGCGGCCGCGGCGGCGACGGCGGCCGCCTTGACGGAGCTGAGAGGGTGGCAGGCGGGGTGCGCGCCGGGCTGCGGCAGGGCGCGCTTGCGGCTGCCGCCGTTGAACATGGCCTTGACGTCCTCCCAGGCGAAGACCAGCTCGTCCTGGGGGCTTTTGTCGGTGAGCTTGAGGTGCCGGCGCCACGAGTTGAAGTTGGCAGCGTCCGGCTGCGTGTACTTGGCGTCGGGCGTGCGGTGCGAGTGGAAGATGAACTTGTTGGGCGAGAAGTACATGTTGCAGTAGCTGCACTTGATGCACTTGGCGCGCGAGCTGTTGTAGCGCGCGGGGATGAAGCTGCCGCGGCAGCCCCAGGCGCACTCGTGCGACACGTCGAAAGCGAAGTTGTCGGGCAGCTTCGGGGGCCGGTTTTCGCCCAGGAAGGACTTGCACAAGCGCTCGGCCTCGCGCTTGGTGATCATGCCGCAGCGGCGCGAGGAGATGGGCATGGCCCCGGCCCGCCGCAGGATCTCCAGCTGCACCGGCGTGCACTGCACGCACGTGATGCCCAGCGCCACGCGGCGGTTGTGGATCTCGTTGTAGCTGAAGTTCTTGAGCAGCGTGTTGGAGATCTGCGCCAGGCACAGGCGCTCCTGCCCGTCGATCACCAGCGACACGATGGGAATGCCGTACAGGATGACCTGGCCCACCTGGTTGGGTTTGAGGTTGGCGTGGCCAGGTCGCGGCTGGCTCAGGGCGTCAGGCTGGAAGGCGCTCGACGGCGAGGCCAGCAAGATGTCGTTGGGCCCCGGCAGCGGGCTGGAAGCCATGTCCTCCGCGGTGGAAGCCCGGGCCGCACCCTCGGGGTCTGCCTGGGAGACTGGAAGGGAAAGGAGAAAAGCGGTGACTCGGGCGTTCTCGGTCTAAACCACTGTGGGGTGAGTCGCTGAGAAGGATCCGCAACTCTCCTGCTTTGGCTAAGACGCAAGTGTCAACCACTAGGATGTCCACCTCAGTGTGTTGAGGTTCGCCCTTGGGGTGTCCCGGGATTTGGAAGTACGTTAATTCCCTTCTACACATTCCAGGTTGAATAACCGTGTTTCTTGAAAGGGGCCATTTTTTACAAAATGCAAGGCCTTCTCTCCATGCCTAGACACTTCTAGAATAAAATATCCTCCCTAGATACCAGAAGTAATGACAACAATTACAACACGGAAAAACTGTAACAGCAAATACAATAAAAGTCATCGAAAAGTGGGGCTTGGCCACTGAATTAATTCCATTTGCGCTTGCTTGAAAAATAGATTGATTTTGGTTTTCTTTAAAAAAAAAAAAAACCAAACCCTTTAAAAAGATTTTTAAAGTGGTACCTGTGGTTTCCTGAGGGAAAGTTCAGTAGTGGTTGAGCGTAGCTCATTAAACCCAAACGAAACCCCGAAACCCTGTTCTTCCCAATCTCTGCCATCAGGTATTTTGAACTTGGGGGGTGGAGAGAACAAGTTTTAAAAATGTAGAAAACCATACGCGTAAATGCACCGAAAAGGACCACTTTACTTTGTTTTTCACAAAAACGACTTGCTGAACCTCAGGAGCGGTTCTGATTTCAGATAAGTAGCTTAAAACCATAAAGTTGCAGACTTTGTAAACAATTTTTAAAAATACAGTTTGGTCACATCACGGAAGTCCAGCAAAGAAATAAACCGTTGTGGGGAGGATCTTTATCGGCAGGATTTAATTGTAAGATACAAATTTAGTTTTGTGAAAGGAATGAATCCTTTTTTGTGGCACTTTCTGATCCACACAGAGAGCCTTACGTATTTAAGGGGAGATGGCCTGGGAGATAGTTAGCTGGTAAGGTATAGAGGTGAAAGCCCTGGGTGAGCCTGCAGAGAACAGACCTACCATGCAGGGTCAACAGGATACCACAACGTGGAGATATTTGATTTCTGAGAATACAGAAAATGCACCCGACAGAAACCTCTGTGGCAAGGCTGCTAAAGTGAAATAAATAGAGCAACTCATTGTGTAGGAAAACAATCCGTGACCTTCCCACCAGGCCTGTCCCTGCGCCTGGACTCCCATGGTCTTTCACCCCCAAAACTCACCAGAGGCCAAGTACACTGTAGTTTGTTATTGCAACGATTCCAGAGGACACTTGCCTATGACCTCACCCAGATTGTCCTACCCTTGGCCTCTCCTTGTCCCTGTGCCATCTATCCGCAGCCTTTGCCCCACTGACCTCGAGATCCTCCTCATCTCTCTTTGGATGGGCGAGCTCCATGAAGGGGGAGCCCAGTTCCATCCATACCATCAAAACCAACCGAACGCGAGCCCGACCAGTCCCTTTGCATGGATCCGACGATATTTTCAGCGGGGCAGGACACTCAATGGCCGCGCGAGGCACAGCAACATCTGGGTCGGACACAGCCTGCCCTAGTTGGGCCCAAGGGCCCTTCAACGCGCATTGCCCTCCCAAACAAGTTTCGCAGAATCGGAAAAGTCCGGGGTAAGGAGAACTCTCCCTGCGAGCCCCGCGCCGCCACCGCCGCGGGCCTGGCGCTTTTTGGAGTGGCGGAGCTGGCTTTGCTTTAGAGAGACCCGCAGCCTTCGCAGCAGAGACGGGCCTGAAGAGTCCAGCCTGAGCGCCCTCCAGGACGACTGCAAGTCCGCCTTCCCTCCCCGAAATTCGAGTCAGAGTCGAGAGGCACATGTAAGAGGTTAGGTTAGGCCTTTTTGGTTATTTTTAAGGGCTGGAGGGGACAGATAGTAGTAAAAGTTAGTTGGACGGAGAGAGCGCGCAGCGAAGGCGACTTCCCCTCCGACTCACAAGCTAGCGACCCCCCAACTTAATTCTCTGGACGCCCCAGACAATTTGCGTACTCTACGGGAGCCCGAAATATCCTCCACCCCCGCCGGGGCGCGCGCGCTGGGAGCCAAGGGTCGGGGCAGGGCTGGTGGGCGCGACAGTACCTGGGAACCCCTAGGTCGCTCTACGCGCGACGCTGCCGGCCCATCTTCCGAGGGCGCTCGGAGGCGAAGCATCCAAGCGGGTCCTCGAAGCCAGCGGGCCGAACTCCGGAGGGTTCCGCGAGAAGATGCGGGTGTTCGCGGGCTCGGAGGGCGCTCGAAGGCGGCTGGGAGGAGCGCGGAGGAGCAGCAGGAGGAGGCCTGGTTGGCGGCGGGGCGTCCCCACCACCGCCGCCGAGCGTGCGGGTGCGCGGGAGCCCGTGGCCAGCGAGCCCCAGGTGGAGAGCGGTCTGACAGCGCCTTTCTCTGTCTCTGAACTCGTGTCGGACCGAGGGGACGCCACCCAGCGGGCAAGGTGACGTCACCGTCTCCCTGACACTCCACATTAAAGAGCTGGCATGTTCCGGGGAGGGCGGGGGAGCTGGAAAGCGAGAGCGAGCCACATCCAGACGGTCTCGCAGCAGGCACGAAAGCTAACACCTCACCGACCCTCCGTGGACAACAGCCTTTCCAAGCCCGGAGCGAAAACGCCGCAGTGGGACCGGACCCCGCGGAACTCTTGCGCAAGCATCCCAAGCTGGCTCTGAGTGGCCGAGGCCCCGGATTCCAGTAATTCCAGTAGGACGCCTCTAAACGGACCGTCTCCTGGCTCCATATTCTCCCCTCCCCTTATTTCTCTGAGCCATCCTCCTTCACGCAGGATCCCTCCGGGACAGCGTGCAGACCGGCAGCCTCTCTGTGTCTCCGAAGATACAGAAGCCACAGTCAGTGGAGAGAATAGAACAGTTTCAGTAAACGCAATTGAAAGGGGGGTGGGGTGGGGATGTGGGGTGGAGGGTGGGGGAGAAGTCTCTACTTAGGGCGTCCAATCTAAAAACTTGAAAGGAATCTGTGGAGACTGTTCCCACTTTAAATACATTGGCTTTGCAGGACAAAATACAGGGTGAATGGCACCGATCCCTTGCTTTAGAATGCATGTAATTAAGGGAGGACCCCGATGAGTAGGTGTAGGCACACTTATGTCAACTTCACTCAGACTTGTTCTCCAACCCATCATCATATAGGATTTAGGGAGCCCCCCAAACACAAGAAAAAGCAGTCCCCAAGTTTGGTCCTCTCTTGAGCAAGTTCTGCACAGGAAGTCAATGTCTTAGGTAGCACGGAGGACAAGTCCTTAAAACACAAGACAACTGGGATGGGAATGAATGCTGGCCCAAAGCGAGGCAATGCAGAATCTAGGGAAGACTTAGCTTATTGCCTCCAAATGAACAAGCTCTTAAGACTTTAATGACTAATTCTCATTTGTTAAGAAAAAGGAAAACCCCATATTTAGAGACCATCCTAAGAAGTAGGGCGGCAGGGGGTCAGGTTGAAAGGCCCTTTGCATATTTTCTTTCAGAATACAGCTACGTTTTTCTATGACTACCTGGTGAAACACATAGGTTTGGAGGTGGGAAGACTTGTGGAAATGACAGAGCAACTTCCACTCACCCAGAAACCACCAGACACTGTTATCAGAAATACCCCCAACAACAGCAAACTACTATGAAATACAGGCGTGAAATACAGAATCTTAACACTTTATCAAAGGTCAATATGACCCAGGAGAGACCACCAAACAGAAAAATGAGGGCTTGTTGCTCAGGATTCATGGCTGCTTTGAATCAACATGTTCAAAAGCATCGCAGAGCCATGAACACTAAGTTTGAGCCTATATTCCAAGAGGCAGGGACATAATTTTTTTTGCCTCCCTCCTAGTTTCTAAAGGTATTTATGGCACAAGTTAGGCTCACTTCAAGGAGGCTGAAGTAGAAAGCACATTTTCTCCAATGGTTCCATCCTGAGGGCAGGAATAGTCGTGCTTTATGCCTGCTCAGTCCGTTTGTGAAAAGAGCATCACTGTGGTCCACAAAAATACTTCCTTAAGAAGGCTGGAAACCCCATCCTCTTGCAAATGTTCTTAGGGCAGACCTGGTTCCTGCTACCTTCCCTGACTTCCTTCTGGTCCCACAAAACGAGGTCCAGACTTGCTGACTATTCCTGGAGTCAGTGAGAAATTTGATGCCACAAAGGAAGTCTGAAAGTGGGACTAAGTTGAGAATGGAAAAGGGAAGAAACGTAAAGTCCTATAACTTCCTGTTCCCTGGGAAATGCTTGGCTGTTACTGGGGAGAATACTCGGGATGGGGAGGGGGGCACTTTCTCTTTATTAGGTGGTTCTTATCTTTGCCACCAAAGTCTCCTCTTCCCTTACAGATCCCTACTTAGAAAAAAAGGCCCTCTTATAAATATCTTTCTCCTAAAAGAGAAGTGGGGTGAATCTTTTTCTGGTTTTCCCTCCATCCCAAGTTACCCTAAGGCATGTATTAATACCTGAATGATATCTGTAGCCACCTCTTCACTAGATCTTTAAATATAAACATTCATATACTACTTTAATATGGTATCTGCCTGTATTATAAACCACCTTACAAACTTATGGCCTTATTTTAATACAAGAAATTCCACGAAAGAAAAAGAAGTTCCACGGATAAGAGAACTGTGTGACATTAGATAAAATGCTTATTTTTTGGTACAAATAATTATAAGGGCAGTACAATTCCCCCCTCCCCCCAAAAAACATCTTGGGTGCCTGTTTGAGCAATCTCACCATTTCTAGTTTTTGGAAAGTGTGGGTGGAAGACAAGCAAATTCAAGCAGGCTTTCAGGCTCCAAAGAATTTCCACCTTGAGCCTGGGACTGGACAGAATTTTTAGATCCTTTTCTGTCTCTAAGCATCTTTCGCACCCACTGCTCTGGCCCGGGGCTTTTGCCACAGCTTGTGCAAGTCTCTTACTGCTGTTCCATGTCCTCCCATTTGCTCTCCTTGACTCGGGCGCCTAATCCTAGTCAATTCCTGTCCTGCACTCCCAGA